GGAAGAGAAAATACATTTATTATTCATTAAATGGAAGTGGATCACCAGAAAAGTCTTCATCCTCATGATCTTCATATTGAGTAGGCTGAGGAGAAGGAAGAAGAGAAGGGATTGGTCTTGCTGTGTTAGGAGTGGCAGTGGCAAACTCCTTTGGCTCTTTCCATGAGAGGTACTTAGGGGACTCAGTATTACTGTAGGGAAATACCTCATAATTTCTATCTGACTTTTCTTTTTCTCTAAAAATGTTTCTATATGGAATCGATCCTTCTTCCTCTGGTTGCTTTAGTTTTAGTGCCCACATCATAGAAGGGTCAATGTCATAAAGGTCAAAAACAGCCTTGAATAATCATACCCTTCTGCCATGTTGTCTAACGCCAGTTGGTTTTCTGGCACAGTTTCTTCTACTAATTCTGCCTCATCATCTGGCACTGGTTCAGAAGCACTCATCTCCAACAAGTTGTGTCCTGTTAATTTCTCTGGTGTGGTGTCTACAGGTCTGGAATTTCTTTAAGGTTCATATCTGGAAACCTTCATCCCTCCCCTTTTTTGCCATAACCTGATCTATTTCATGATTTTTCTGATTGACTCTGTCGTAAATTCTGTGAAGTCATGAACAACATTTGGACATAGTTTTTCTCCAGCAGGAATTTCTTTTGGGCTTGATGGCTTTAATAACTTTTCATGATTTCTTCCCTACTAGGGTTCTCTTCCATAGCACTGACAATCCTTCCCATAGAGTATTCTGCGTAATAAGGCTTAAAGGTCCTTATGACCCCCTGAGCTAGAGGATAAATTAAAGATGCTGTGTTTGAGGGCAAGAAGACCACTTCAGCACCTTTTGTGTTGAACTCATGGGGTTCTGGGTGGCCAGGGGCATTGTCTAATATCAAAAGAACTTTGAAAGGCAATCCCTTATTGGCAAGGTGCTTACTGACTTCAATAAAAATACAACAATGGACCCAATCCAGAAATTTTAAATTTTAAATTTTAAAATTTTAAATTAATTTTTAATTTTTCTGTTATTTGTTTAGATTCCTGATTAGTGTTTTTTTCCTGAATTACGCTCCTGAACATAGATATAATTAGTTTAATGCAAATAAGAAAAGTTTTTTTTAAAGAATCTTTGTGTTTTAAAATATATGATATTGAAAAAACCAATTTTAGTTACTAGAAAAAGAGCCACATAAAGGAAAACTTCAGGGGTTATCACTCAATTTTATTGCTGTAAAACCCAAAACCTGGCAGTTGATGTTTATCTTTTCCCTTTGAGGCTCAGAGGTTAGCAACTTTATGGATAAGGGCAGTCCTAATCATAAACCTAACTTCACTGGCACAAAATAGTGCAATTAGCCTATCCTTCCCTTCTTAAATCCTGGTGCTCACTTCTCTTCCTTACTAATAAATGTCCTTTGTGGCATTTTTTTTCCCAGAATGGGTCAATTCCATCTACATTAAAAACCTGTTCAAAGCATGGTACTAGTACAAAAATAGACATATAGACCAATGAAAGAGAATATAGAGCCCAGAAATAAGGCCACACACCTACAACCATCTGATCTTTAACAATACTGACAAAAACAGACAATGGGAAAGGACTCCCTATTCAATAAATGGTGCTGAGATAACTGGATAGCCATATGCAGAAGATTCAGACTGGACCCCTTCCTTATACAATGTATAAAAATCAACTCAAGATGGATTAAAGACTTAAATGTAAACCCCAAAACTATCAAAATCCTGGAAGACAACTTAGGCAATGCCATCCTGGACATAGGAATGGCAAAGATTTCATGACGAAGATGTCAACAGCATTGCAACAAAAGCAAAAACTGACAAAATGATCTAATTAAACCTAAAAGCTTCTGCACAGCAAATGAAACTATCAATAGAGTAAACAGACAACCTACAGAATGAGAGAAAATATGCATCTGAAAAAGGTCGAATATCCAACATCTGTAAGGAACTTAAACAAACTTACAAGAAAAAAAAGAAAAAAAACTCCATTAAAAAGTGGGCAAAGGACATGAACAGACACTTTTCAAAAGAAGACCTATGTGCAGCCAACAAGCATATGAATAAAAGCTCAACATCACGGATCATTAGAGAAGTACAAATCAAAATCACCATGAGACACTATCTCACACCAGTCACAGTGGCCATTATTAAAATGTCAAAACATAACTGATGCTGGCAAGGTTGGGGAGAAAAGGCAACACTTATACACCATTGATGGGAGTATAAATTAGCTCAACCATTGTGGAAAGCAGTATTGTGATTCCTCAAATTACTAAACAGAAACTACCATTCAACCCAACAATCCCAACTTTAGCTATATACCTAAAGGAATATAAATCATTCTACCATAACAACACACACATGTATGTTCCCTGCAGCACTACTCACAATAGAAAAGACATGGAATCAACCTAAATGCCTATCAATGGTAGATTAAATAAAGAAAAGATGGTACATATACACCACAGAACATAAGGCAGCCATAAAAAAGAATGAGATCATGTTTTTTGCAGGAACAAGGATGGAGCTGTAGGCCATTTCCTTAGCAGTCTAATGCCAAAACAGAAAACCAAATACCACGTTTCCACTTACAAGTAGGAGCTAAATGATGAGAACACGTACACAAAGAGGGGAACAACAGACACTGATGCCTACCTGAGGGTGGAGGTTCGCAGGAGAGAGAGGAAAAGAAAAATACTTATTGGGTATTATGCTTAGTGCCTGAGTGATGAAATTATCTGTACAACAAACCCCCGTGACATGAGTTTACCTATATAACAAACCTGCATATGAACCCCTCAACCTAAAAGTTAAAAAAAAAAAAAAGCAAAAATCTGTGTAGGCAGCTATCCTTTCTCCTCAATGATTTTCTTCTCTCTCTCTCTCTCTCTCTCTCTTTTTTTTTTTTTTTTTGAGACGGAGCCTCACACTGTCACCCAGGCTGAAGTACAACTGGCGCAATCTTGGCTCATTGCAATCTCCGCCTCCCAGGTTCATGCGATTCTCCTGCCTCGCCTCCTGAATAACTGGGATTACCGGAATGGCACCACCATGCCCAGCTAACTTTTTGTATTTTTAATAGAGATCTTGTTTCACTATGTTGACCAGGCTGGTCTGGAACTGCTAACCTTGTGATCTGCCCACCTCAGCGTCCCAAAGTGCTGGGATTATAGGGATAAGCCACCATGCCAGGCCCAGTGATTTTCTTAATGATGTTTGGGAACTCATCTGCTGCCTCTTGGCTGGCAGAAGTACCTCTCCCGTTGTCATTTTTTTTTTTTTTTTTGAGATGGAGTTTCGCTCTTGTTACCCAGGCTGGAGTGCAATCGCGTGATCTCAGCTCACCGCAACCTCCGCCTCCTGGGTTCAGGCAATTCTCCTGCCTCAGCCTCCTGAGTACCTGGGATTACAGGCACGTGCCACCATGCCCAGCTAATTTTTTCTATTTTTAGTAGAGACGGGGTTTCACCATGTTGACCAGGATGGTCTCGATCTCTTGACCTCGTGATCCACCCACCCCGGCCTCCCAAAGTGCTGGGATTACAGGCGTGAGCCACCACGCCTGGCCTCCTGTTGACATTTTTTAAGGCAAACCTCTTTCTAAAAGTATCAAACCATCCTTTGCTAGCATTAAATTCTCCACCTTCTTCATCTATCTTTTGCTTTAAGTTGTTATATAATGACTTCATTTTTTATCTCAAATAATATTACAGTCTACAGGTATGCTTAACTATAGCAATCCTGTGCACATATATAAGCTACATTTTCAGTACAAAGTGAAAAGGTATTTAGCAAAATGTGCAAGGTTTTTGTGCCTGATAACATTGCTATAGAAACAACTTCACAAATTTTCTTATCTTTTCTCACAATGGTCCTTAGGTTGGATTCATTTATCTTGAAACGGCAAGCAACTGTAGCTGCAGATTTCATTCCATGGTACATATCAAGCAATTCAACTTTTTTTGGTAATGTTGTGATTTTTCTCTACTCTTCAGAGCCTTCCAGCATTACTAGTGTCAATTCGCATGGTCCCATGGTATTATTCAAGGCTCACAGTATTATGTTAAACATAATGAAAAATACGTGAAAACTGTAGACCTAACTTGGTACTGTAATACTCAATTGATTGGAGAAATGAACTGCTCACAAAGAGATTATTAGCACATGGCATTTTAAGTGGATACTCACACTTGAACTCACCAGCACAGCAACAGGAGGTAGCTAACAAAATAATCACAGTAGTACAGTATGTAGTACAGTGAATTTTATGCAGTCATAGCAGTACTGCATCTGTACATGCGTTTATATTTACCTTGACTGCCAATGGCAGATTGAACAGTCTATAAGTTTGTATACCTAAGTTTTGATAAATTTTAACTTTTTATAATAGATTTGTGTATACTTTATAGTAGTACATGATAAAATACACTAGTATCAATATATATTTTATGCATTCATGACATATTTTATGTTTTCTTAATTTTTTTATATTTCTAAGATACATGGTTCATCTGCAAGTTTTTTCAAGTTGTTCCAAATCTGTGAAAAATTTTTCAATACAGTTAACTGAAAAATATCCTTGTATAAGTGGACTCACATGGTTAAAACACTGCTGTACAGGAAACTTAGTCAGTTATGCCTCAATATGAGATACACAATGAATTTTTTTTTGAAACAGGATCTCACTCTGTTGCACAAGCTAGAGTGCAGCAGCATCATCACAGCTCACTTCAGTCTCAAATTCCTAGGCTTAACCAGTCCTCCCATCTCAGCCTCCCAAATAGCAAGACTACCGGTGCATGCCACCATGCCCAGCTTTTTTAAATTTTTTGTAGAGATGGAGTCTTGCAATATTGCACATGTTGGTCTCAAACTCTTGGCCTCAAGTGATCTTCCCACCATGGTCTTCCAAAGCACTGGTATTACAGGTGTGAGCCATGGTGCCGAGCCATACTGAATAATATTTTAGTATGGGCAGATCCCAAGCACTCGCTTCAGCAGCACATATACTAAAATGGAAGACACAGAGAAAATTAGGATGGCCCTGCTAAAATATGACACATAAATTTGTGAAGCATTCCATGCTTTTATGAAAAGCAATAATAAATGCTGGCAAGGATATGGAGAAAAGGTAGATCCTAAATTATTCATTGTGTATCTGATACTCAAATTTAACTAGGTATCCTACATATTACCTGGGAACCCTGCTCCCAGTGTTTGATACCTTGATCCTTGACATTTTTATTGCTTGACTAGAGACCTGATTTTCCTCACATAATCTCATTTCTAAATTTTTTTTTTGAAAAGCCTAATTTTTCCAACATCCCTCCTTCTCTGAACACAACCAATTTATTCATCACTTTTTACACCTTTTCTTCCACTAGCTACTGAATTGCTTCTTCCTCATTACAGGTGGTTTTCATATTTGATCTCTCCAATTTTACCCACTCTCCTGATCCCTCTTGACTACCTGTGTTTCCTGAAACCAGGACTTCGGTGTTCTACTCATTAGTTCCCTGGCTATTTTTCCCCTTTGGACTTTCTGCCATGCCAGTTACTATTCCTAGGTCTAACAATAGGTTTACTCGTCACCTTGCAGGCTTCAAAGGATTATTGAAAAGTCACAAAAACTTGGCAAAACTAAAAATTTTGATATTCGGCATCCAGTAGGTCTTTGCTGCTACACAGGGATTCTATCATTCATCTGATCTCTCTCTTTTTTTTTTTAATTCCTCTGAAAGCAGTTAAAAAGCACTGCCTCTGTACCATTGTGTGCCTAAGCCTGATTTGAGACCCACCAGCATTAGAGTAAAAGGGAATAATCTAATTAAAATGTGAATTCCTTGGCCATACTTGGGACCTATTGAATAAAAATCTTCAAGTGGGAGAGTAGAATAGAAAGGCTATAAATTCGAATTTTAAATCTATTCTCCATGTAATTTTTATGAGCACTAAAAATTGAGGATCATTGCTCTACTGAATAAATGCACCATCTTTTCCCTGCAACTGGGAAGAATTTCTTTTGTGAGCCTCTTTTTAGTGTCAGGAAGGATGAGATTACTTCATCTCCCCTGTTTTCTATTCCAAGCACAAACTTGGAAGAACTTTTTCAAAATAACTTACCTCTCTGACCTTTAATCCTATTCCCTTTTGCCTTTTTCATAATTTTTTTAAAACAATCCTCTCATTTTCTATCATCTTCACTGCCTCTTCACTGAAACATTTTACCTTGGAAAAGGGTGGCTGTCCTCTTTATGAAAAAAACAAACAAAAAAGGCTTTCGTTTGATGTATCACTCCTTTTACGTTACCATCCTATTTTCCTTTACTTTCCCCCACCTGGCCCCCAAATCCTTGAAAGGCCTATTTTATCTAATAAGCAAAATACAACTATACCTACATAATCTTGTAAATGTATTCTCAAACCCCTATAATCTAACTTTTTTCATTCCCTGTTCTACTAAGGTTTACACATTTCCATCTAACATCTATTATTCCCTTGCCCTATCTCAATCCTTGTTCTGTCTGACCTATCATTCTTAAAACTCTCCACACCGGTGACTCCCAAACTTGTCACAGACTGGAATCAGGTGGACAGTTCCAAAAATGATAATGCCTGGGACACATGCCCAGGGTTTGTAATTGAATTGGTCCGAGGTGTGAGCTGAAATTTGAAATAATTTTTAAATCCCTAGATGATTCTAACATACAGATATGTTGGAAAACCATTGCTCCAAACATTTAATCTTCATGACATTAGTATCCTTAGCTTTTTCCTACATTTTTAACTACTTCTTTTTCTGTTTACTAACTGCTTTCCCTCCCACTAAATCACACACCTCCAAATATGAGGGTTAGCCAAAGAGAAGTCTGCAATTCATTACTCTTCCCTTACTATAATCAATATTAATTCGAGCCATGAAAGTAGAAGAGGTGTCTCAGGGATAATGCTGGTAACAATGTTGATATCTATTATAATATCAATAAATCTAATATATCACTAATTGCAAGATGCATCATTATTTTATGTAGCACTAAATGACAGAAGCACCTCAGATAAATTGGGGTCTAATAGGAGAATCCTACAAAAAGCTAGGACCCCAAAGAACTACACCATCTTAAACCAAAGATAAATAAAATATAAATCCACAATTTAGAAAGAAATCTCTCAACTTGGGCCATGACAGAGGGGGGAAAACACCTCCTTAACAACATGAACCACCAGTTGGTACACATGCAGCTTTCCAATCTGTATTCATGCCACCAGAGTGGTCTCAAAAACTTCAAACAGATAATTAAGTTGAAAGTGCCTCAGGTTAAAAGTGTTCCGGGTGACTGCAGAAACAACACAAAATCTCTCTGAAAGGACCCCACCTCAATCCAGGAATAAAGCAATGCTGATAAGCCATCAATTGCAAAATGCATCTTGATTGAAAATAAGTTAAAATGTGAAAAAAATATATATCCAGATAAAATAATAACAGAACTTATGTACATGCCACAAGGTTTCCTAAGCATTTAACACATATTAGCTCACTGAATCCTCATGATGAGGGAACTACCATTAACCCCATTTACAGATAAGAAAACAATAGCTCAGAGAAATTTCTGCCCAAGGTCACATAGCTATCAGATATGGAAAATGGAATAAACTCAGGCAGATGTGACTTTAGAGTCCATGCCCTTAGCTACTGAGCTATGGACATAATTTTGGAAAGCATCAATATTTGAGGGATAGTCAAGAAAAAATGACCCAAAGATAAGAAGGAATTTATGAAAACTGCCAGAGGAAAAAAAAACAACTCACAGAAGAACAACTACAGAAATTCCTACTATGGTAGTAGCAGTTGAAGGCCAGAGGATAATGGAACATCTTTTAAGACTTGAATTTAAAATGTCAACTCAAAACTCTATATGCAGTGAAAATAAGGTAGGAAAAATGAAGACATTTCCAATAAATAAAACTTGAGAAAATTCATCACTAGCAGACCCAACCACAAAAAAATACTAAAGGAAGATCTTTAAGATAAAGCAAAACAGTACCAGATGAAACTCAGATCTAAAGAAAAATTGAAAAGTTCTGAAATAGCAAGTGGGTGGGTAAATAAAAAAGATCGTTTATTAATTAGCTTAAATGATGACTAAGCTTTATAGCACTGTATGTTTTATAATGCATGTATATTTAAAATATATCACAATAAATACAGGAGATAGTAAATGGTACTGTATTATTGCAAGGTGCTATAGTTTGGATAGATGTCCCTCCAAATCTCATGTTGAAATTTATCTCCAAAGTTGGAGGTGGAACCTAGTGGGAGGTTCTTGGGTCATGGGAGAGGATCCCTCATAAACAGCTTGGTGCCATCCTTATAGTAATGAGAGTTCTCCCTCTATTAGTTTCCACAAGAGATTGTTGTTATATAGAGAAAAAAACAAAAGAAAACTATGACCTCCTCCCTTCCTCACTTCTTCTCTCTTGTCATGTGATCTCTGCATATACTGGCTCTCCTTTGCCTTCTACCATGAGTGAAAGCAGCCTGAAACTTTCAACAGAAGCAGATGTTGGTGCCATGCTTCTTGTACAGTCTCTAGAATCATGAGCCAAATAAACCTGTTTTCTTTATAAATTACCCAGATTGAGGTATTCCTTTTTAGGAACACTAAATGGAGTGAGACACAGGATTTTTCACTTCATATTAAGTAGCACAATATTAACTTAAAGCCGACTGTGATAAGTTAAGAAAACATATTATAATCCCTAAAACAGTCATAGAATAATAATACCAAGAGGTATAGATAGATAAGGAGCTAATGGATAATTTAAATGGAATTCAAGAAATATTTCATTTATCCAAAGAACATAAGAAAAAACAGATGAAACATATGAGGAAAAAACCAAAACAGTAGACTTAAACCTAACCATGTTAATAATTACACTAAATGTAAACGAACTAAGCATTCCAATTTAAAAACAAAGATTATCAAACTGGATAAAATAGCAAGATACAACTAAATGTTGAAAACAAGAGACTCACTTTAAATATAATGAAATAAAAGGTTAAAAGCAAAAGAATTCTTTAAATTCCATGAAATAGTACGCATAAAAAAGCAAATGTGGCTATACTGATATCAGATAAAGTAGACTTCAATATGAGGAGTTTACTAGAGATACAGAGGAGTAGAGTATTTTATAACAATAAAAGAGCAAATTCACCATGAATACATAAAAATTCTAAATATGTGTGAGTGTAAAAACAGAACTCCAAAATATATTAAGTAAAAACTGAAGTAAAGGGAGAAATGGGCAAATATACAATCATACCTGGAGATGTCAATACTCCACTCTCAGTAATTTATACAATAACTAGACAAATCAATAAAAATACAGAAGAAATTGAACAATTCTCTCAACCAACTTGACCTAAATGATACTTACAGAACATTAACCAAAATAATTTAAAAATGCAGTGTTTCCAAAAGCATATGAAATATTTACAATGATGGATCATATACTGGTCCACAAAAAGAAAATCTTAAAACATTTTAACAATGAAATATTACAGAATGTATTCTCTAGCCAAAACAAAATTACACTAGAAATTAATGTCATTAAGTTATTCAGAAGATCTTCCAATGTTCAGAAATTAAACAACATACCAAAAATACCTGTAGGCAAAAGAAAACTGGAAAATATGTTTAACTGAATGACAATGAAAACACCAACGCATCAGAATTTGTGAAAGGTTAAGCAATGCATAACAGATAAATTTACAGTCTTAACTACTTATATATTTTAAAAAAGAATTGTTTACTTTGGGAGGCTAAGGTGAGAGGATCAAAAGGTCAAGAGATGGAGACCCTCCTGGCCAACATGGTAAAACCTCATCTCTACTAAAAATGCAAAAATTAGCTGGGCATGGTGGTGTGCACCTGTAGTCCCAGCTACTCAGGATGCTGAGGCAGAAGAATCACTTAAACCTGAGAGGCAGAGGTTGCAGTGAGCAGAGATTGTACCACTGTACTCCAGTGTGGTGACAGAGCCAGACTGTCTCAAAAAAAGGAAAAAAAATTAAATGTTTAAAATCAATTATTTAACTTTCTATTTTAAGAGCTAGAAAAAGGATATACTGGCCTGATATAAATAAAAGGAAGGAAATAATAATGATAAAAGCAGAAACAATGAAATAAGAAACAAACATGAGAAAAATTTCTAAGGGTGAAAAGTTGGTTTTTTGAAAAAAAAATCAATAAAATGTATAAACATCTGAAGATTAATGGATACAAACAACTGGAAAGAATAAATAAAACCTAATATTTGCTAGCACGACAGTGTGACTGTAGTTATAGTAAAAAATAATTTCATGGTACATTTTAAAATAGCTAAAAGAGTATAACTGAATTGTTTGAAACACAAGGGATAAATGCTTGAGAGAATGAATTCCCCATTTACTCTGATACGATTATAACTCAGTGCCTGTCTGTATCAGAGTATCTCATGTACCCCATAAATATACTTACCATAGACCCATAAAATTTTTTAAATAAGAATTTCAAAAAATAATAAAAAAAAATACATTCTCATCATTACAATCTTGGGGCAGGCAGGTAAAGATTTCTTAAAAAGGATACAGAAAGCACTAAGCATTAAAAAAAATAACAAGTTGAAATTCATTAAAATTTCAAACTTCAGCATAAAAAGACAAGTCACAGACCCTATTATCTGACAATGGACTCATAGCCAAAATACATACAAACTCCCACAACTCAATTACAAAAAAAAAAAAAAAAAAAAAAAGAGTAGAAGACTTGAATAGACACTTCGCAAAAGAAAATATGAGATCTAATACACATGTGGAAAAGGGCTCAATATTATTGATTATCAGGGAAATACAAATTAAAGCCATAACAAGATATCATTTTATATCTATTAGAATGGTTAAAAGTAATGAGACTAATAAAACCAAATGCTGACTAAGATGTGAAGCAACTAGAAAACTTATAGACAACTGTAAAGGGATTTATAGAGGTATTATTCATCATAGCCCAGAACTGAAGACCACCCAAATATTCATTAACAGAAAAAAAAATACATTTTATCATATCCATACACTGGAGTTCCACTTAACAATAAAGAAGACCCAACTACTATTATAAGCAACAATAAACTTGAATTTCAAAAGCCTTAGGCTAAGTGAAACCATATACAAAAAAGCTACATCTCGTATGCTCCTATTCATTTGACATTTAAAAGCATGTAAAACTCATTATGGTGACAGAAATCACAACAATGATTGTCTACGGGTATGGGATGAAACTGAAGGGGGCCCAAGGAAACTCTCTTGGAGGATGGAAATGCTATCTAGTTTGATTGGGTTATAATTACATAGCTACACATATTTATCAAAAATCACTGAACTGTATACTGAAAATCTATGCATTCCATTATATGCATAATTTTAGCTCAACAAAGTACTGTCAAGGAGAAAAAGAAAAAAAAAAAAAAAAAACTTTAAACCAGACTTCTAGTTCAGGATGTCAGAATGACCACAGTATTTTTCTTCTCCCCATAAAAGGGTAATAGGAGGGAGCATGAGAGATGTTCTGGATCACTGGTATTGTTCTAGTTATCTTGCCCTCAATGATGATTATATAGGTGTTTTTACTTTGGGGTAATTTATCTATTTATACTCATGACTTGTACATTCTTCTGTATATATGTTATATTCAATTTTTTTAAATCATACAATGAATCAGGCACCCCCTACAATCCACTGCTGTACAAGAGTTCTATGTAGCTACTGAATTTTCACTAAGGATGTTGAATTTACCAAATAATGGTTTGGTTTCTAAATCAAAACAAAAAACAAAAGTAAAAACATTCCTTAGCTCAGATGATCGTACTAGTCCCAGTGTAGGCCTAAAATATCAACTGCTTTTCAGCTCCCAATGAAATACACACATGAAAGTGACTTTACAAAAGACTGTAAGACAGATATGCATTAGGTAACCTCTAAGCATCCCAATAAAATATGAATCCATTTTCTTACCCCATCTTTATCCTGATATTCTGTAGTATGTTTGCTGAAAATGTATCTTCCATGTTTCTCAAAATAAACTGTAACTTTTATACAATTTATGTGTCAGAGAGCTTGTTTTTGCCAAATCTTCATTTGGACCTCTGCTAGACTACCAAATTCCCTGAATATTTTTTTGGAATAACAATATGTAAAATCGGATGACTGAAAGTGTTGCAAAGGTAGCTAAATTCAGAAATCAAAAATATATAATACAGGCAATTAACACGACTATTATATATTCTCTGACAGTATTGAGCAGTAGAGAAAACAGAGGGTGGGTTAATCGAAAGTTCAAGGTCACATAGGAATTGGTGGGAATGGAATGGTTTGGGGAGTTTAAGTGAAATCACTGACTACAGGATCTGAACGTAAAAGAGGAGAAAATGAAACCAAGAGACTTCAATGACAAGGAGAATAAAAGGAGTCTCGAATCAAAAATTAAACAGCACATTTATCACAATTCAAGCAGCAAAAGTGGTAGAAAGACAAGATGTTACAGTGAAAGAAGAGTTTCAGAGTTCAAGATGTATTTTATCTACTTAATTGTACACCTGTAAATGAATATAGGAATATCTACCACTAGAATTATCAATCCATTGTATGGTGCCTGATCCAAAGTAGAATCTGAGTAAGAGGTAACTGTTTTAAGTTGATGTAGTAAATGCAAATTGCTTTTAATTTTTACCTATAAGACAATTATAAACTCACATCTACTGAGAAAAAAACAAAACTCATTCCAAGCCAACTATAAATAAGATAGAGCCCAAACGATATTTTTAGATTATCTAATCAAATGTTCTCTTCTTTTCTTAAGGACAAATTAAAGTTGATTGGACAGATATTACACATGCAAATATATGACCATATATACTCAAAGTAAAACAAAATTTCACTTTTTTCTGGAACAATTTTAAATCACAAGTACCATGGTTTATGTAATTTTTTATACATCTGAAGAATTTCTATACTGCCCTTATAACTCAATATTGAGCACAATGAGATTAACCACAAATCTAAAGAAGGCAGATTACTTATAAAAATAGATTTGCTCTTCTTACTGCAGAAACAACCAAAGCAAGAAAACAGTATTAAATAATAAGACAATTGAATTTTTAGTACTCACAGCAATGGGAAAGATTAAATCACATTAACAGTGAAGTTCAGTCTTGGCACCACATAACTCCCTAGGTGCCACATTACGCATTATTATACATTCATCCCATCAATTGATTCTTGACTACAAATTTTAACTATTCTTGAATCAGCAAGTACATTAACCGCAGCTTTGCCAATGATAAAATGATATTTCAAGAAATATTCTTACCTGTCTCAACAGTTTCTCAATGGCCGACATTACCATAAGGCCTCTCCAAACTACTGGTTCATTTTCTTCAACCAGAAAGCCCATAGACATACTGCAACAGTAATACAAAAATATAACTAATTTGTATAAATTATCAATATTATTCTGAAAAGTAACATTTAAAAAAATACATGCTCACCAAGCAATACCATAATTCAAGAGAGGCCTCATTAGGTTGCCTGGAAAAAAAAAAAAAAATCCTCTCTTTTAGAAGAATAAAACATAATAAATAAACATCCTGATGGGTTTTTTTTAATCTTTTCAGAAATATTTATCTATTTTTTAATTAACAAAAATTACATATGTTTATGGGGTACAATGTAATGTTATGATACACATATACATTGTAGAATAATAATAAATAGTAAGCCATGCTAATTAGCATTACACATCACCTCACATACTTATCCTTCCTTTGCAGTAAAAACATTTATTCTATTCTTTTAACACTGTTGAAATATATAAAATATGATTGTTAACAATAGTCACTATGCTGTGTAACAGGGCACTGGAACTTATTCTCCCTGTCTAAGTGAAACTCTGCACCAGTTGACTAACATCTCCCCTTTGCCCAACCATCCTTCCAGGACCAAAGAATACCAAACTGGAAATACAAATAGACTGCTCATATTGTACAATTTAACTTTCTACTAAATATATCTCAATTTGCAACAGTTTAAACATTATACCAAGCATACTATTAATATTCCCAATAGAGGAAACACTGATAAATAGTTGGGACATAATTTTATTAAGAAATAATTCAACTACAATTTTAAAATATGTTTCTAAAAAACAGCCTCAATACCAGGCATGGTGGCTGACACCTGTAATCCCACCACTTTGGGAGGCCGAAGTGAGCGGATCATTTGAGGTCAGGAGTTTGAGACCAGCCTGGGCAACAAAGTGAAACCCCGTCTCTACTAAAAATACAAAAATTAGCTGGGCATGGTGGCACATGCCTGTAGTCCCAGCTATTTGAAAGGCTAATGCAAAAGAATTGCTTTAACTTGGGAGGCCGAGGTTGCAATGAGCCCACATTGTGCCACTGTACTCCAGCCAGGGTGACAGAGCAAGACTTTGTCTCAAAAAATAAAAAATAAATAGCCTCAACAAATAATAACTCAACCACAATTTAAAATTTTTTCTAAAAAATAACCTCAATAACTAATTTTGTCCACCAATTTTATTCAGTGACAAAAATGCATACATATATAAATTATAAATATGATAATCTAATATGTGCATACATGTATGTGTATATTTGCATGCACACACACATCTAATCAGTCCTTCCTACAGAGGAGTGTTACTACTTATTTATTCCTTTACTTAGCTTAAAAAGTATAAAAATGCACAAAAGTGGAAAAACTCAATTTTGAAATTCGAGATGAAAAGTTGTATTAATCTGTATAGAAAAACAATCTATTGCTTATGGTGAAGTAAAAAAACAAAATCCTTTATATAGTCAACAAATGATTATAATAAAATATAATTTCTTTTATCAGACTATCTATGCAACCACATTCCCACTCACTCTTGTTTTCATATCCTACTTCTTTACGATAACAAACTATAATAGAAGCACTCTTAATTAATATGCTATGGACAAGTTTTGAGCAAAAAGTTTAGGACCAAATCACAAAACCTAGTATTATCCTGTTTTCGGATTTTAGCATATTATCTTCAGGGTGTTTTTTACCTCTGGAAAGAGACTGAGAGTGTACGAAGCATATACATACACAGGGATTATATAAGAAAACTGTGTAAAGCATATGTGCATGGATTATGTAAGAAATCCCCTGCCATATTCCATTCATTGAATCCCTACTCAAAGAAAAACCCATGGTCCTTCATTAAAAGACTACTGAATGAGTGTATGTTTATAGTTTCCTTCTTTAATTTCTGACTAAACTAACGAGTTCATCTCCTCATACTTAATTAGAAAGGAATATTTTTCTTCTATGTAATTTTCTCAATTCTTACCAAAGCATCCAACTATAACCTTTCACTATCATGGTTGGCAATATTTTTTTGCCATTTTCTTCAATCACATATGAATACAGATTAAAGAATCTGAATTATCACACGCTTTTTCACCTTTGATCTGCTAAAATGGTAAGTTACATTAAGAGATTTTTCCTAATTTGGAACAAACGCTTTCCTGGATTAAACCCCATTTAATTATAATGTAGTTATCTTATACAATGCTGAATTTGGTCTGCTAATATTTGCTTAACATGATATCAGTATGTGAAAGAGATATCTGCACTCCTATATTCACTGCAGCACTATTCACGATAGTCAAGGTATGAAATCAACCTAAGTGTCCAACAATAGACAAATGGATAAAGAAAATGTGGTATATATATATATATACACAATAGAATACTATTCATCCATTAAAAAGAATGAAATCCAACTAATCAGGGAAGTGAAAAAACTCTACAATGAGAATTACAAAACACTGCTCAAGGAAAACAGAGATGACACAAAGCTCATGGATAGGAAGAATCAATAACATTAAAATGGCTATACTGCAATTTATAGATTCAATGCTATTCCTATCAATCTACCAATGACATTCTTTGCTGAACTAGAAAAAAAACTATTTTAAAATTCATATGCAATCAAAAGAGAGCCAAAATAGCCAAGGCGATCCTAAGCAAGAAAACAAAGCTGGAGGAATCATACTACCCAACTTCAAACTATACTACAGGGCGACAGTAACCAAAACAGCAGGGTATTGGTACAAAAACAGGCACATAGACCAATGGAACAGAATAAAGAATACAGGAATAAGACCACACACCTACAACCATCTGATGTTCAATAAAGCTGACAAAAACAAGCAATGGGGAAAAGATTTTCTCTTCCACAAATGGGGCTGGAATAACTGGCCAGTCATAAGCAGAAGATTAAAACTGGACCCTTTCTTACACTATATACTAAAATCAACTCAAAATGGATGAAAGATTTAAATGTAGAAGCCGAAACTATAAAAATCCTTGAAAACAACCTAGGTATTACCATCCTGGACATAGGAATGGGCAAAGATTTCATGACAAAGAAAGCAAATGCAATCGCAACAAAAGCAAAAATTGACAAGTGGAATCTAATTAATCTAATCTAATTAAACTTAAGAGATTCTACACAGCAAAATAAACTATCAAGAGAGTTAACAGACAACCCGTAAGAGAAAATATTTGCAAACTATACATCTGACAAAGGTCTAATACCAACCTCCATAAAGAAGTTAAATTTACAAGAGAAAAACAAATTACCCCCATTAAAAGTGGGCAAAGGACATGAACAGACACTTCGCAAAAGAAGACATACATTCAGCGAACACACATAAGAAAAAAAGATCAGTATCACTGATTATTAGAGAAATACAAATCAAAACCAAAATGAGATACCAGCTCAAAACAGTCAGAATAGCAATTATTAAAATGTCAAAAAATAACAGATGTTGGCGAGGCTGAAGGGAAAAGGGAATACCTACACACTGCTGATGGCAGTGTAAATTAGCTTGACCAGTGTGGAAAGCATATAGCGATTCCTCAAAGAGCTAAACACAGAATTACCATTCAACCCAGCAATCCCATTACTGGGTATACACCCAGAGGAATATAAATCATTCTACCATAAAGACACATGCAGACAAATGTTAACTGCAGCACTATTCACAATACCAAAGACATTAAATCAACTTAAATACCCATCAATAACAGATTGGATAATGAAAATGAGGTACATATACACCATGTAATACTAGGCAGCCATAAAAAACAAACAAACAAACAAACAAACAAAAACAAACAAACAAAAAAAACCCAAGATCATGTCTTTTGTGAGAACATGGATGGAGCTGGAGACCATTATCCTCAGCAAACTAAAGCAGGAACGGAAAACCAAATACCACATCTTCTGACTTAAAAGTGGGAGCTAAATGATAAGAACTTATGAACACAAAGAAAGAAACAACAGACACTGGTGTCTACTTGACAGGGGAGGATGGGAGGAGGAAGAGAGCAGAAAATATTACTATTGGTTACTGGGTTTAATATCTGGGTAATGAAATAATATGTACAACAAACCCCTGTGACACGTGTTTAGCTAGGTTAAAAAAAACTTCATATGTACCTCGAAATGCAAAATAAGAGTTTTTTTTTTAAAAAAAGGAATGAAATCCTGTCATTTTCAACAACATGAATAAGTCTGGAGGACATCATGTTAAGTGAAATAAGCCAGACACAGAAATTCAAATACTACATCCATTAACAACAAGGTATTATCTATCTCAAAATAGCTTATAATATTTTAAATGTTCCCACTAGGAAATAATAAATGCTTGAAGTGATTACTCTGCTCATTACCCTAATTGTGATACAATGTACTATATATACCAACACATCAAATTGTGTCCCATAAATACATAGGATTATGTGTCAATTAAAAATAAACATAAAACCAGCTGCAGTGGTACATGCCTACAGTCTCAGCTACCTGGGTGGCTGAGGTGGGAGAGTCAATCAAGCCCGGAATTTGATTCCAGCCTGACTAACATAGTGAGACCCAGTCTCTAAAAATAAAATAAATAAAAATCATTTTAAAATGTAATAAATAAGGAGTAGGGCAAAATGGAACAGCTCCAGTCTGCAGCTCCCAGCGAGACCAATGCAGAAGGCTGGTGATTTCTGCATTTCCAACTAAGGTACCAGGTTCATCTCACTGGGACTAGACAGTGAGGGCAGTCCATGGAGAGTGAGCAGAAGCAGGATGGGGAATTGCCTCACCTGGGAAGTGCAAGGGGCAGGGCATCTCTCTCCCCTAGCCAAGAGAAGTCATGAGGGACTATGCTATCTGGCCCAGATACTACGCTTTTCAAATGGTTTTTGCAGCCTGCAGACCAGGGGATTCACTCATGCCTATACCATCAGAGTCCTCAGTTTCTAGCACAAAACTGGGCAGCTGCTTGGGCAGACATGGAGCTAGCTACAGGAGTTTTTTTTTTTTGTACCCCAGTGGCACCTGGAACCCTAGTGAGATAGAACCATTCACTCTCCTACAAAGGGCCTGAAGCCAGGCCCAAGTGGTCTTACTCAGCGATTCCCACACCCACAGAGCCCAGCAAGCTAAGATCCACTGGCTTGAAATTCTCACTGGCAACACAGCC